CATGGCCAGCAGACTACACTGGACCATGAGAGGAGAGAGGAGGAGGAAGACCAAGAGAGGAGCCGAAGACCAAGAGAGGCATCCGAGCCAAGCGACCAACAGACCAAGAGATTCCTGAGGCTAAAATGGCTGTTATGTAGGGACCTGGGTGGGAGAAGGGAAGGGAAGCCTAGTCCCTGGGTGGGGGAGGTTTAGGACAGGGGCAGAGTGAGAAGTGCTACAGGTACTGAGGAGACTTGTCCCAGGTTTCCTTGAGACCAAACAATGGGGTTCCATTTATCTTAAAAGAAATTTCCGATAGCACCCTGTAGTGGTTAGTTTTCTGCCAACTTGACACAAGAGTCATCCTGGAGGAGGGAACCTCAATTGAGAAAATGCCTCCATTGATCTGTAGGCATTTTCTTGACTATTGATATGGGAGAGCCCAGACCACTGTGGGTGGTGGTAACCCTGGGCAGGTGGTCCTAACTTGTATAACAAATCAGGCTAAATAAACCATGGGCACAAGCCAGTAAGCAGCATTCCTTCATGGTCCCTGCCTCAGTCCTACCTCCAGGTTCCTTCCCACCCTGAGTTCTTTCCTGCCCTGGCTTCCCTCAGTGATGAACTGTGATGTAGAGTATAAACTACACAAGCTGCCTCCTCCCAAAGCTGCTTTTGCTCATGGTCTTCAAAGGAAAAGAAAGCAAACTAAGATACCACCCCCCTTTTCTTGACCTCCCTTTCCCTTTTTCAGCTGGTATACGAACTCTAAATCCAGGCTGCCTCTTGTCTTTTCTTCTGTGAATTCTACTTGTACAAATAAAAACCTGCTTTTCTCCTGCTAGCCTTCTTGTCTGTGTGACTCACAAGCCACCAAGAACTGAAGTTAAGAGGGCCTGGAGAGTGTTTCCTCTAACCACAGAAAGATTATTTTCATAAAGATGAATGGCATGAAGGAATGAGAAAACGAGAACCAAAGAAATAAACAGTGGAAACATCCACTTGTGATGGGAATAGGGTTTTCCCCCGAAGGGCTTAAACGTGTTTGCGTTAAAGGGAAGTCTCTGAAGCAAACCCAAGCATCTCTTCGATGTCTGGAACAGACGAACAAAGACTCCCACTGAGGAGGAGAAATGACCATGGCAATGCCATCTTGTCCTAACCCTGTATTTACTTAGACAGTTCTCAGCCCTCTGCCCAAACCCACTCCCACAATGGTCACATCTACCCTGATGACATTTGAATTTCCATGGCCTTGACCATGGTCCAGCTGTATCAACCAAAACTACTGATATAAACTAGAATAATTGGAGAAGGTATAAGTCAAAAATAATTTTTGCATTGCATCAGAAGTAATCATGATGTTCTGGCAGAAATGAATGTTTCGAGGTTACTTTGTCATGTGAATTATGGTCTGTGTGGTTTTTGCTTTTTAAAACACTATACCCCTCCCTGAGCTTCCACACCAAGAGACTCTGAAGCATGAGGTTAATGTTAGTTGTAATTGGGCCCCAGACCTTAGCACAACTGACTCCATGATGGAAGTATCATTCAGGCTGGAAAACTCAGCACATAGACAGCATCACCCACCAAAACTAAAACAAAGACCCAATCCATCAAAGCCCATAGTTCTGGCAAAGTCTCCAAATGTGCTAACTTTCTATCGTTTGCTTCTGGCTAACTGTTCTTGTTAACTAAAGTAACCCAGGATATGGTTTTTGTGCTTAAAAGCTCACCATGAGAAAAGCTCAGGTATTGTGTGGAACAGTAGTTTAAAGATGTGTTACAATTGTTTGTGCTGTGGAATATTTGTTTAATGATGCAAAGATGTGTTGCATTCTTTTATGTTTGTTTAACTCTGTAAAGCTGTGTTACTTTGCCTGCCTAAGACACCTGATTGGTCTAAGAAAGAGCTGAATGGCCAATAGCCTGAGAGAGAGCTAGGTAAGGTAGCAGACAGAGAGAATAAATAGGAGGAGAAATCTAGGCTAGAAAAGAATGGGAAGAGGGAGGATGGAGAAAAGGAGATGGAGCCAGCCCCCCAGACACACAGTCAGTCATGGAGTCAAAAGGGGAAAAAGATATATAGAATAATGAAAGGCAAAAAGCCCAGAGGCAAAATGTAGTTAAAGATAAATGGGATAATTTAAGTTAGAAAGGTCGACTAGAAAGAAGCCAAGCTAAGGCGGGGCATTCATAAATGAAAATAAATCTTCTTTGGATTTATTTGGAGCTGAATGGCAGGCCTCTAGAGTAAAACAAAACAAAACAAAAAAACCAAAAAAACCAAAAACCACACCTGAGGCTACACTGGAACCCTGAACACTCAGGGTAGTTGCCTGGCAGTTTTCATTTTTTGTTTGTTTGTTTTTCTGTTTGTTTGTTTGTTTTAAGACAGGGTTTCTCTGTGGAGCTCTGGCTGTTCTGGAACTAGCTCTGTAGACCAGGCTGGTCTCATACTCACAGAGATCCTCTTGCCTCTGCCTACTGAGTGCTGGGATTAAAGACACGAGCCACCATGCCTGACTTTATAAAGACTTTCTATTGGCTTAAACCCATATCCAAGCAGTCTTCCCTTGTGAATATCCCACAACATTGGTTATAGATAGACCAATAAAGGACTTATATACTTTTGTGTATGCATTGGTGTTTTGCCTGCATATATGTCGGTGTGAGGGAGTCAGAGCTTGGAATTACAGACAGTTTTGAGCTGCCATGTGGGTGCTGGGAACCGAACTGGGTCCTCTAGAAGAGTAGTCAGTGCTCTTCACTGAGGACTCTCATGCTTTTAAGTGGTTCTCTGTACCTTCCTCCAGTGGGGTATTACAGAGCTTTCATGGGAATCTCCACAACACTCTCCATTTGGTAAAAGTAACCTGAAGAATGGCAGCCAATATGAGCTGAGCAGGACATGAGGCAGAGGGATGTTTGGCTTTTCATCCAAGCTCTCCCATAGCTCTTGCCCTCTGGCTGCCTTTGAACTAAGACAAAACCTGTTGGGATGGGCATAAAAGCAGATCACAGGGCCTTCTTCCAGGTGGCTTAAGCTACGTGTGAATAAGCCCCATAGCCTGGGCCTTCTTTGGCTGTGTCTGCTCTGCTATCTTCCCAGTGCACATTTGCTTCTATGTGATGCTCTTGCACATCTGCTTGCCTGTTCTCCATTATTTGAAAGTCCTTCCTGAGAACTAGATATCTACGCGGCAACTTTCCCCCATTCTCCATCCTATCCTTGTCTCACAGTCCTCTTTAGGGTCAGCCATAGGCATGGTCCACCCTCATGCTTCCCCAGCCTTCATCCTTTCAAGTATCCATTTTTAAGCGTCCTTCCTTCCCTCTGACTGCTGGGTCTCTCCACCTGGGTGTGTTTTATCTTCATCTGCTTCCTTCCTTCCTTCTTCATTCACCATCTATCACATACAGCCATCAGCATCAGCTTGCGGGTCGTCTTGTTGCATAAGCAGAAGGCGAGTTTTAGCAGGTAACTCAGGCTGTCCAAGGGCATTTGTTTGGCTCATAAGTTGTGGGCAGATCCCAGTCTCCCTCCGCTGTTGCTCTGCTCTAGTCAACAGCTAAGACACACAGGCCAGTTGTCCACTCAGCCTTCTGTCTCCCCAACTCCTAACCTCACCTCTTACACACATGCATCCACCCAAACAGGACTCCGAATCCACACTCAGTGTTCTACATATTCTTGTCTTCTAACCCCTCTCCAGGCACCAGCAGATAGTGAGAGGCCAGGGATGGGAGCAAGGGTCTGAGTCCCTACACTTGACCACAGGTTGTAGTGGAGTCAGACACTCCTCAAGACTCTACAACTCAGCTTCCCATCTTTATGGGAGATACGTACTTTGCTTGGAAAAACAGGAGGTGACCCTACATAATGAGTCCTAGGCCAACTCGGTTTAAAACAGGAAACTGCCTCAAAGCTAGCAAATAAACCAAATCCACCTATCTTTTACATAAAGAAAAGCCTTTGCATGTCCCAATACTCAGGGCTAGTGGTGCATACCCTTAATCTGAGCACTGCAGAAGAAGAGGCAGATGGACCTCTGTGAATACAAAGCCAGCCTGGTTTAAACAGTGAGTTCCAGGCCAGGTGGGGCTACATAGTGAGACCATGTCTCAAAACAACAAACAAAAGCTCAGGTGATGGCACACACCTTTAGTCCCAGCACTAGGGAGGCAGAGGCTGAGGGATCTCTGTGAGTTCAAGGCCAGCCTGGTCTATAGAGCTAGTTCCGGGACAACCAGAACTACAAAGACAAGAGACCCTAAACCAAAACAAGGCAAAAACAAGCAAACAAACAAAACCACGACGAAAAAGTTCAAGTCCTAATAAATTTTAAGTTAAGTGTAAAGAAATCCAAGATGCAGGGCGTAGAGGTGCCCTTAATCCTAGCAAAACAAATGAATCTGAGTTCAAGGCCAACGTAGTCTTCATAAAGTTCCAGGACAGCCAGGGCTACATTGTAAGAAAGAAAAAAAAAAAAAAAAAAAAAAAAAAAAGGAGGGAGAAAAATAGAGAAAGACAGAAGAAAGGAAGAAAGAAAAAGTAAGAAAGTAATCCAAGACTCCCATCCCCAAATTGAGACCCACTGAACCGGATTCCTGGATCTCTCAAGTCTTGCCTTCATTTAACATGCCACACCTCCTGTGTCCAGGCATTTTGTAAGATATGGAGGTTACAGTGATGGAGAGACTTTTCTCCCTACTCTGAAAGTCCACATTTGGGAGAGAGGAGACAAATGAAGACAGAAACAAGGTGATTTCTGAAAGCTCCAGGTTTAATAAAGCAGGACGCAGGGCAGTTCTCGCTTACTGTCCTCTGCCGGCCCGGTGGCAAATACCCAAGTTCCACCATGGAATAAATAGCAGCACGCCCCGAGGTTCCCGATGCAGGCCCCGCCCCTCGCGACGTCACCGGGCCGCGCCAGACAATCAGCGCCGCCTACCGCCGGCTGCGCGGCCGTACCTGCGGGAGGCGCTGTGGCGTTTGCATTTGGGCCCTCCTGAGCCGCCATACCTCCCGCCTCCACGCCCAACGTCCGCGTCGCCGTTCTGCGCCGCCGCCATGGCCGACGTGGAGGACGGCGAGGATCCCTGCGTCTTGTCCTCACACTCCGCGACTGCAGGCCCCAAGTCGGGAGCCGACAAGATGTTCTCCCTCAAGAAGTGGAACGCGGTAGCCATGTGGAGCTGGGACGTTGAGTGCGATACCTGCGCCATCTGCAGGGTCCAGGTGATGGGTAAGCAAGGCGCTGGACGGTGGCGCGGCCTGCCGGGCGAGCTGCGCCGGGGAGCACTGGGCCGGGCCGCCCGCGCGGGCTGCACTGCACAGCTGGGTGACCCCTCGGATCCCGTGGGGAACCTCCGGGTTTGTGCGGGTAGCCCGGCGGCCAACAAACTTCGCAGCGGAGCCCTCTCGTGGATCTAAGGGTTCAATTAGTTAATTAGTTAACTAGTTATCTCTGGGGGAAGCTCATGTTTCCCAGGCTGGCTTGGGACTTGTGCGTTTAGCCGAGGTTGGCCTTGAACCCCTGGTGTTGCTGCCTGTACCTCCCAAATTCTGGGAATTGCGAGCATGCACCACCGTGCAGATCTCGTTTCACGGCTCTGTCACCACCGAAGTGATGCGCAGCCGTTTGTGTGGGGTTGGTGCAGCTGCTGTTTGGCCGACTTTTACATTTTACATTGACGAGTTAGATAGTTCGCATGTCTTGAAGCGAGGGCCAAGAGTATTTAAGATGTATGGGAATCCAAGGATAGAAAAGCCTTTACTTGGTTCAGAAACATGAAACTTCATCATGTCCCCTTCCCACCACTTTGTGTCCTTTCGAAGAACCTTCTTTCATTAGTAGTCTAACATTTTCAGTATTTTAAACGAAAATATTGGACCAGATGAAACGTATCAAACCAGCGTAATCTAGTTTTACATAGTTTAAGAGCTCAGTCCATCCTGAAAGAACTCTGTCTTTGTCGTCTTGTTAGTTTCTCTTGGGGGACTGGTGGTTGTTGAGACAGGGTTTCTCTGTGCAGACCAGGCTGGCCTCAAACTCAGAGATCCGCCTGCCTCTGCCTTTCTAGTGCTGATATTAAAGGCATGGGTCACCAACACCCCTCGAGTCTGTTTCTCTTTTAGACTAGTTCAGTCTCGTATAGTCCAGGATGGCCTTGAACTCCTGATCTTAAGCGCTGGAATTTGCAGAAATGAGCCACCATGTCTGTGGCATGCTGGGGATTGAATTCCTTCATGCTAGGGAAACTACCAACTGAGCTGCATCCCCAGCTTGACATAGTCTTCCAAGGTGGTGGTAAACACCTGTAATACTCTGGAGGTTGAAGCAGGAGAGTTTGAGACCAGCCTTGAGCAAAACAAAACAAACAAACAAAAAGTCCAGGGGCTGGAGAGATGTTTGCAAAGAGTGAAGACTGCACTTGCAGAGTTTGATTTCCAATACCCACATGGCAGCTCACAACCTTCCATAGCGTCAGTTCCAATTTGCCCAACACTATTCTGGCTTCAGAGGGCACTAGACACATTTGGCACACAAACATATATAAGTTATATGAGAGTTTATTGAATTTATGTGGCTTGGAGAGATGGCTCAGTGGTTAAGAGCACTGATTGCTCTTCCAATTCCAGGGAATTGGACCTGAGTTCAGTTCCCAACACCCACATGGCGGCTCACAACCATCTGTAATTCCAGTCTTGGAGACCTGAGGCCCTTCTCTGTGAGCATTGTATGAACATGTTGCAAAGATATTCAGGCAGGCAGAACATCCACACACATTTAAAAACAAACAAAACAAAAACTGTTAGCCGGGAGTTGGGTGGTGTGGGACTTTTTAGTCTTAGCATTTGGGAGGTGAGGCAGACAGATTTCTGAGTTCAAGGCCAGCCTGGTCTATAGCCAGGGCTGTTAAACACAGAAACCCTGTCTTGAGGGGAAAATTGCTGTGAGAGTGTCTTAAACAGTGTTTTTTGTTTGTTTTATGGGTAGTTGAAATGACTATATTTTTATGGTTTGAAAATGTGCTCACTTCTTGGCGTTGAGACGTTAAAACTAGAATCAAGAGTTTTTTCCAGTTTGGGGTTGAGTGTGGTGCCACCGTTCTGAAATACCAGTACTCAGGAGGCTGTAGCATCATGACCTGGTTGCTTTTGTTGCTGTTCTTTTGCAGGGTAAGCTTATTTTATTCTGGCCAAGTATGATCGTGCACATCTGTCATCTCAGCACTTGAGAGGTAGAGCCTGATCTCTGTGTGTTAGAGGCCAGCCAGGTCTATGCAGTGAGACCCTGGCTTAAAAATGAATAATAAATAAGTAAATCCTGAATTACTTTAGTTTAGAAGAAATGTGTAGCACAAATTCTAATAGGTATTAATAATTTAAAAAAAACCCCACAGTCAGATTTGGGGGGGGAGCGGGGTGCTGAAAGATCAGAGAAGTGAAATGGCCAGCCACTAGTGCTTAATTCAGTAGAATCCTCAGACTGCATCTCCCCCTTGTCTGTGCCCCAACTATTTTCTTCTCTCTGCCCAGCCATCTCACTCCTGTCTCTACCTCCCTAGTGCTGGGATTAAAGGCATGTGATCCCAAGTATTGGAATCACTTTCGTGTGAGCTCTGTTTCTTTCGGACAGATTAGGTGTGTGCACCACTCCCTGGCCTCTGTGGCTAACTAGTGTGGCTAGCTTTGAGCTCTGATCCTCAGGCAAGCTTTATTTGTTAGATCATAAACTATCACCACAGAAATGAAACTTTTTTAGTTTAAAACTAACCCTGTTTCCTGGCATTATTCTGAAAGGCTATTATTGTATGCCTTAGAAATGTTCTGTTCTGGTCATTAGGAACAGCATTCACAGAATTGATTGTTTGACCCAAGTGTTGCTGATGTTTGTGATTGCAGCATTAGAGACAAAGGCAGGAGGATCTCAGCTTATTAATTCAACAATAGCCTAGTCTACACAGAAAATCCAGGCCAGCCAAGATAAAACCAAAGATTAAAAACATTTTATTTTAAGAAATGGATTTTTACTTATAAAATTACATTTATTTATTTATTTGTTTGTTGTGTGTGTGCACAGGTGTGGGGACTTAGGAGAGTTATTTGTTTCCTGCTAGGCATGGTGACACAATTTTTAATCCCAGCACTTGGAAGGCAGAATCAGGTGGATCGATCAGTCTGGCCTACATAGTGAGCTCTAAGACAGCCAGGTGTATGTGGCAAGCCCCCCACCCCCATATTTTGGTTTTAAGTTTATTTATAATCGTGTATATGTCTGGAGGATATGTGCAGCACAGGTGCCTTGATCCCTCTAGAGATGGAGTTACAGCAGTTGTGAGCTCCCTGAGGTGGGCACTGGGACTAAACTCATCCTGTTTGAGAGCTCTTAACCACTGAGCCATCTTTCCAGCCCTGGCTTCTGCTAATCTTGAAGTTACTTATTCGCCTTCTTACTCTAAGGTTGGCTCTCTCCCTTGGGTTCTATCCATACCCCACCTTCTGAAAGGAGCAGATGTCATAGGGAGGAGGCAGGTCACCTATACAGCCAGGTTGTTGAAGCCAGGGTACAATGCCTGACGGTGTTAGCTTAGACTTTTCACACTGGCTTTTTGGAGCCTTGGTTGCCTCCTTTACAAAAGAGTGGATAGCCAGTTCTAGCATTAGAGCTCAGTGACCACCAGAGCTGGTGCTAGTCCTGAACTCACAGGGGTCCTCCTTCCTCAGCCTCTTTTCCTTCTGGATCTAGAGAAATGGCTCAGCGGTGGAGAGCACATACTGCTCTTAGCATACTTAGCACTTACAAACTGCTTGTAACACCAACTCCAGCGGTGTCCAGCACCGCTGGCCCTCAAGAGCACCTGCATGCACATACCCACATTTAGGCACACATACATAATTAAAAACAAGCCTTTTCTGTCAGTGTGAGCCTCCTTTTACCTGATTTGGACTGCTTAGACAGTTAAAGAATGAACCAATTGTATCAGTCCCTAAAGTGTTGTACTGATTGAATTTTAGAAACTTTTAGCATACTCTTAGGTTTCCATTTATTCAAGCACTTTGGCATTGTTGTGTGAATGCATTGAGGATTGGGTATTCAGGCCTTCCTAGGCTATGTAGTTTGAGGCCAACTTGAGCAACATGAAACCCAGTCTCAAAGGAATTTTGTGTACAAAAATTTTTTTTTAGAAAAAAGCCTTTAACTTTCAAAAAGGTTATATGGTCACGTGATTTAAAAATTAAGGGGATATATATAAAAACTCCTTCCTGCTCCATCCTACATTTTATGGTTGGGCAGGACCAGGAGCACGTGCCTGTAATCCCAAAACTTTGAGGCAGGATTTTAAGGTCATCATCTGCCTCAAAAACCTTTTAGTTCCTTAGAGGATTCTAGACCTTTATGTGTATATGAACTAATATAAATCATAGTCATATTTGTGTCTAAAAAGTAAACTAACCCTAAGGTTGGTCTGTGTGAGTGAGAAAGCTGGTGGACTTACAATAATTTGTTATGGCGTAGTTGGCATCTTTGAGTGACTTTCTCTAATGCCACTGCCAAGCTATCCTGTCATATGAACTTGTAAAATCATCATTAGCCCTTGTGAAACATTGGTCATAAGTGAGTTAGTAGAATGCCAAGTATTTTATTTCTCTTTAAGTAGTTATTTTTAGATGAGAAATGAATAATAAGAGACTCTATCTTCATCTCTGACCCTCGGGGCTTTGGTTGACTTTGAAGGTCTGGGTTTCCAGTGTTGCCTCCTGAACCTCAGATGAGATTTGCTTTGTTTGCTTTTAGATGCGTGCCTCAGATGTCAAGCAGAAAACAAACAAGAGGACTGTGTTGGTATGTGGTCACTCTTCTCCTGCCTTTTCACTTGGAGGTTTTCTTATGTCTTTTTGGGAATATTTGAATTTGCTATTAAAATTGACTTTATTAAACTGGCCTCTGTTACTCAGGCCTGTAAACCCAGAACTGGGAAGGCTGAGGCCAGCTTTCACTATGTAGTGAGACCTGTTTTCCAAAGAAAGAAAGGAAGAAAGAAATGGCTTTATCAGTACGTAAAAAACCATAAAGTAGTGATTAATTATTAATACACATATTCAGAGAGTTAAGGGGCTGGTGAGATGGCTCGAAGGTAAAGGTGCTTGACTCTCAGACCTGATGACCTAAATTTGATCTCCAGAACCCGCTTAAAGATGGACTTGACCACACCCAGAAAAACAGCTCAGTAGATGTACCATCAGTAGCTGATGATGTTCATGCCTACTGTCTGTTTATAATAGTCCCCTGTAAGCTGAGAGCCTGTGAAACATTGTATCTTGATAAATTAAAAACCAGGAGGATCTTATAAAGAAAGGAAAGCACAAATGATCCCTAAGGTCAGTCCATGGCTGAGGAGGACTAGGAACTACAACAGACTCAAGTCCTTTAATCTCCTAACTTCAGAAGACACCAAGTACAGCTGTTTAGGAGCTAGAGGTTGTGACTTCACCCCCCAAAACACGGTGGTCCTTTTTTTTTTGTTTTATTTTTGAGACAGGACAGCTCTGGCTGTCCTAGAATTAGGCTGACCTCAAACTCATGCCCAGCCAGTGGCATCCATTCATCTGCCTGCCTTCCTTCCTTAATTTTCTTCTCATTTGTGTCTTTCACATCAGTTCTGATCCCACCCATCTCCCCCTCTCCCCCCCCCAAAAAATCTCCTCATGGAAGCTGCAGTGTGGTATAGTGAGTCATGCAGTAAACTCTTTCATACATTTTATATGCAGGGGTTTATCCCAAAGAATAAATTGGTCTGGTTTAAGGCCACCAGTCTCTGCCACATACCATCAACACTGGGCTCTCATTAGGACTCTTCCTGGACATCTGTTTCTGCCCTTTGTCATGGAGATCCTCCAGCCCTGGGTCCACAGGACCTGCATACAAACACACTCTCTCCCCTTTCTCCCTTCCCCCCCCCCCCCCCCACATCACAGATAGGGTGGATATTAAGGGTAGACCAAACATAACCCTGGTTCTGGGCCTTAGTAGTTGGAAGGTTAGTCAGTCTGCCAGCTCTCACCACCAGGGTGAGCTCTCCTGCATTCAGTGGCATATTTTTCTTCTTAAGTGTAACTTCTACTTGTAAATATTTTTTGTAGATAGAAAAAAAAAATACTTTGACCACTTAGCCAATTTTTCAGGATTATGAACCATGACTATTTTCTTTTTGTTTTTTCAAGACAGGGTTTCTCTGTATTGTTTTGGAGCCTGTCCTGGCACACTGTAGACCAGGCTGGCCTCAAACTCACAGAGATCCGCCTGCCTCTGCCTCCCAAGTGCTGGGACTAAAGGAGTGTGCCACCAACACCCGGTGAGCTATGACTGTTTTCTTGGGGCTTTTTTTTTTAACTATAATTTTGAACTTAGTAATTTAATTTTGAAGAATTTTTGAAAATTTTGCTTTCATTTCATATATTCATATAATGTATGTTGGTTATGTCTACCCCCTGCTTGTCCCTCCCCTGAACTCACCCCTCCATATATTCCCCTCCCACCTTCGTGTTCTCCTGAGCTTAACTATTTAAATTGAACTCTGTCGTGTCTGTCGATTGGGGGATTGATTGATTGATTGACTGACTGACTGAATTTTTGAGACATTGACCTAGAACTGGCAGCCCTCCTGCTGCCTCAGTACTCAGATTACATGCATGCAGTGCATACCCTCCTACTCAGCTGCTTTGTTTTCTCTTGCAGTGGTCTGGGGAGAATGTAACCATTCCTTTCACAACTGCTGCATGTCCCTGTGGGTGAAACAGAACAATCGCTGTCCTCTGTGCCAGCAGGACTGGGTGGTCCAGAGGATCGGCAAATGAGGCGGTAGATGCTTTCCTGCTGTGGTCCTGACCCTGGATGATCTTGCTGTCAAGTTCTCAGACAAAGGTTAGAACGCTCCAGCGGATGTCTTCAGATGGAAAGGGTGCAGTCTCTGAGACTCATCCAGGGCATGGTTTAGCATTTTGTCAGTTTAATTTTGAGAAGTTGTCTACAAGAAAGATAATTTATTAAAAACGGCCTTTCCTACCTCTGTGGTGTGTGTCGTACATACTGCTTAGAAGAGCTATGAGAGAGAGAATGCCCAAAAGGGCTGAGAGAGAGAGAGAGAGCACTGCACTCACTTTACAGAAGAGTGTTTCTGTGTTTATGACTGATTGGTTTTGTTACAGTAACAATTAAATGCTTTTTGAAAGCCCAACTCCTTTCCTCTGGTCCTAATACTTTTTGTTGTTGGGAGAGGGGCAGCCCATGGTATCTTTATTTGCTGTGAGGATTTTGATTTTAGATCAGTGAAGAATATAAATAAAATAACTTTCAATAAATGGGACTTTGTCTCCTAAGTTCTCTGCCTTTTACTCATCAGGAAAGCTTGGATCTATACTCCCCTCACTTTTCAATCACTTAGGGTTTCTTGTTTGTTTTTCTTGAGGCCAGGTTTCTCCGTGTTACAGCTCTGGCTGTCCTGGAACTTGTTCTGCAGACCAGGCTGGCCTCAGACTCAGTTCCATCTGCCTCTGCCTCCTGAGAGCTGGGATTACAGGTGTGCTCCCAGTGCAGTCACTTAAAGAAGTATTTTACAATATTTTAATAAATGAAATACTCTGTTTTGAGTTAACTAAAATTTTATTTATACCCTTAAACTAATCTGATAAATTGAAAACATTAATATGTCTGTATTTGTCATTAATACTTAATTACTTGGAAATTCACAACACAAATGTTATCAAACTCATCCAGGGAAGATGTCTCAGGTGTGCAGAGTGCTTGCTGTGTGAACTTGAAAACCAGACTTTCTGTTCCTAGAACTCTTGTGAAAACCTGGGTGTGGCGGCCCTGGTACTCAGGAGGTGGAGACAGGTGCACCCTTTGGGGCTTGCTAGACTGTCAGCAGCCAAACTGATGAATCCCAGGTTCAATGAAGAGACCCTGTCTCAAAACAGTAAGACGGAGAACAGTTGAAGGCGAGTCACCAGCCTCTGGCCTGTAAACACGCTGTACATACAACCATGTATACACAAAATCTCATTCAAAAGGTTATTTGGGCTAAGTTTCTGTTTTGAAGTGGAGGTTACAAATAGGAATTTCAAAGGAAAGAGTCAGGCTGAAGAGATGGTTAGTGGTTAAGAGCACTTGCTACTCTTGCAGAGTAGCAGATTTGGGTGCACCCATGGTGCAGCTCGTAAGGAACCCAACACCCTCATCTGGGCCTCTGGCCACTACATTGTACATAAAACATTTGGATACACATACATGCAGGCAAGCACTCAGGCTCTAAAAGGTTTTTAAATGTGTTAATAAAAATGCAGCATTAATGGAGGTGTCACAGTTGGTGACAGTTTGGGATAGGGTCTCACTAGAGCCCTGGCTGGACTGGAAGTGAAATTTGGCTTCGGACTATGGCAGACACCACCTCCCAAGTACTAGGGTAACAAGTGTGCACGTCTATACCTGTTTGAGTTATGTTTTCTTTCCTATTGGCTCAGGTTTCTCTGAGATGATTTTTTTTTTTTTTTTTTTATTTTGTCAGTAGGCCCCTGAAAGGGCATGTGTAAAAAATTTCTAGGTATTAAAAGTGTACACATGTATGTCAGGCTTCGGTGGTGCACACCTTTAATTCCAGCACTCAGGAGGCAGAGGCAGGATCTGGATCTCTTTTGAGTTCGGGGCCAGCATGGTCTGCAGAGCGAGTTCCAGGACAACCTCCAAAGCAATACAGAGAAACCCTGTGAGGGGTTTTTGATATTTTTGGTCATTAGCTATTGGTAGGTTTTTTGACACTTTTTTATTTTTGTTTTTCAAGACAATTTCTGTGTGACCCAAGCTGTCCTGGAACTCACCCTATAGACCAGGCTGTCCTTGAACTCACAGAGATCTGCCTGCTTGTCTCTGCCTCCTGAGTGCCGGGATTAAAGGTATGTGCCACCACTGCCTAGCTTGACATTTTTTTTAAAGCTTGGAGTCATGAATTGTGAAGAAGGGTCACTCAGATCACTTTAACAGTTTCTAAGTAAAATCTGGAGGGTGGTGGTAATGACTCAGTGTTCACCCAGCAAAACTGTCTAACAAAGCTCTATTTGTGCTTCACATCAGCATCTGAGGGTAGAGAGGAGGAGGGATTGAGACAAAGGTTAGCTCCTAGGCCCTGGCTGGCCTGTTTACCACTCACCTACACAGCCAGCCAAGAGTTCCCGTACATACCGTTCTATCAGAAAAAACATGCAGAGGCATTTTAGTTGAGTCCAAAACCAAGCAGTGTTTTCTCTCCAAATGATTAAATTACATATAATGTGTTTAATTGCATATTAGTAAACATTTAGAACTACAAAAAAATAGAAACTGTTGTTAGGTTCTTTGGCTCGAGACATTGTTAACAGCTGTGTACCATAGGGTAGTATATAAAGTCTGAGATGTTGGCCTGTGTGTCCCATGTACCATCTCAACATCATAAGCCCCTGAACCCCCCCCCCCCAACTTGTTCAGTCTCAAAAAGTTCAGTTTCTAAAACTCTTTGGAGGCAGGACTGACTTCTTGGAACAGCAGTCTTGGGTGCTTGGCAGATGGGGCTGTTTGCATATTGCTGCCACAGCCTCTCAGAGACACCCTAATGGCACAGGAATGAAAGAATTCTTTAAAAGGTAAGGTTCACTTTGTGCTGGGAATTGAATCCAAGACCTTGCTTTGCTCAAGTGACTGCCATCCTCTTAAGAACCAAGTGTTGCTCTCTGTCCAGACAGTACACAGCTCCAACTGCTGAGTCCTAAGCTAGTAAAAGTCCCTTGACAGGCTTTTAGACCTAAGTAATGAAGTTTTTACTTGATAAAGGAGTAGAAATGCTTTGTCTTTTTTGTTTGGTTTTCAAGACATGGTTTTCTCTGTGCAGCCCTAGCTGTCCGGGTACTAGCTCTGTAGACCAGGCTAGTCTCAAACTTGCAGAGATCCATCTGCCTCTGCCTCTCAAGTACTGGAATTAAAGGTGTATGCCACCAACACCCAAGCTTTGTCATTTTTTAAAAATTATTTTTGAAGAAGTAATCCCATGGTTCTGAAGTGAAAATGACAAGTCTCCTGTGTTTAGTAAGACCATGTGTAAATGTTTAAGGAAATGGTGTGTGATGGCACATACTTATAGCCACAGCAGCTGAAGCAAGAGGGTCAGAAGCATGGGCTATGCAAAGAGATTCTTAAACCAAGGAAAGGTTACAGGTTTGAATATAAAGAAAGTAGCCTGGACTGGGCAGAGATGGCACACATCTTAAATCCCATCACGTAGGAAGCAGAGGTAGGCAGTTCTCTGTGAGTTTGTGGACAGCCAAAGCTACACACATAAAAACCCTGGCTTGGGTGTGGGAAAGAATACAAAGCACTTAAAATATAAATGCTTGGATTCTAAACTCCTTGTTCATACTTTTTTAAAAAAAATATGTCTGCATGTATGCCTGGATGCCAGAAGAGGGCACCAGATCTCATTATAGATGGTTGGGAGCCACCATGTTGCTGGGAATTGAATTTAGGACTGGAGGAGCAGCCTGTGCTCTTAACCTCTCCAGTCCTAAGGGTATACCAAAATACTGAAAATGTTAAATGTTTGCATGAAGTTATCCTTGCACTTTTTACTTGTTCTGTAGCCCAGACCAGCCCCTAAGTCTTGATCCTCCTGCCTCGAAGCCTTGTATCACACAACTATCATACCTTCGTATCATCCCATTCTCTCATGGGTAGGTTTTGTTCAGCAAAGTACGTCCCCCAGGAAAAAGATTTTTCTGTATTTTGGTATATTATTTTAACTGTGTAAAGATGTGTTATATTTGTTTATGCAGTGGAACATTCAACTGTAAAGGTGTGCTACATTTGTTTGTGCTGCATTTGTTTAATTATGTACAGATATGTTGCATTTGTTTTACCTTGCCTGCCTAGGGCACCCTGATCGGTCTAATAAACTGAGCAGCCAATAGCTAAGCAGAAGAAAGGATAAGCAGGACTGGCAGGCAGAGAGAATAAATAAGAGGAGAAATCTAGGCCTGAGAGAATAAGGAACAGAGAACCAAGGAGCTGCCCTAGGCCAGAAGCCAGGCAGCCACCCAGCCGCAAGAAGCAGTGAAAGGTGTATAGAAAGAAGGTAATAAGCTCCGAGGCAAAAGGGAGATAAAAAGAAACAGGTTAAGTTAAAAGAGCTAGCCAGAAACGAGCCTAAGCCAGGCCTAGCATTCAAAACTAATAAGTCTCAGTGTCATGGTGGCCCAAAAAGAAAAAGCCTGATACGCACAACAGCTGAGACTTCCCATTGGGACTGATTTTGACGAGTTATGTCACCTCTCTATACCTCAGTTTCATGTGTATTGTAATCCCCGCCTCACTGGATTATTGAGGTTCAGGACAATTACTTTGTTCCTTGGTGTGATTAAATACTTGACACTGCAGCATAAGAAAGGGTGGGTTTGTTTTGGCTCAGTCTGAGGAGATAGTTCATAGTGGCAGGCAGGGGAGGCAGCCCGGAGCCTGAAGCAGACATGAATGCCAGGGTGTTTCCTGCTTCCTGTGCAGTCTAGAGCCCCAGCACATGGAGTGGTGCTGCCACAGTTAGGGTGGGTCCTTCCACCGCAGTCAGCCCTGTCTGGAGACTCCCTCACAGGCTCTTAGGTGATTCTGGAACCTGTCAGGTTGACAGTATATAAACAACACAACACTGGGATTAAGTAGGTAAACTAAGGAGTGTCTGGTGCTGATGAGAGCTGCGGATCCTTGGCATCTGTGAGAGCTTTAGTAGAAGCGTGTTTCATGACAGGCAAAGCCCTCCTTTAAAAAAAGAGGCAGAAGTCAGAGGAGAAAGTAAACAGTGTGGATGCAACAAAGGGCCAAGCCTTAACTACTTTCCAGATAGTTACCATGATTTTCAGAGTTATATGGAGAAAAGGTTCTGTAAATATTGAAGGTTTAATTTTAGCTAGGCAGTGGTCATGCACGCCTTTAGTCACAGCCCTGTCTTGAAAACCCAAAAGTTTAGTTTTAGATTTTCTGTAGAGCCTTAA